AGGAAACATGTGTCTGAGAGACAATTTACCCAAGATTAGTCAATGTGTCATTCTTAAGACTGTAACTGAAAGCTAGAGTCTTTTCACTATTATTAGGGTAGGTTAACCTGCCTGCTTTGTTTGGGGACATGTTTGCACGTGAATAAAAGATCCTCAAAGCTAATGCCTTGGAAACTTGCAGGTGCTGTGCTCTGCCCTCCAGATTAGAAATAGCTTTGGACTGGGTTTTGGTATTGTCACTGAGGTGAGTCTAAGGGGGTCCCAGAAGCTGAAATAAGGAACCAAGTCACCCTTGTATAGAATAACTTTACAAGTTTGCTGACTCCCATGGAAAAAGAATTTTCAGCACTTGTAAAAAAGGCACAGGAAGGGCTTTATTAGAAATTAAAAGTTAAATAAAGGCACTTATTTTCTGGAGAAGGGAACATTTACGCTTCTGATGAGGGATGAAAATTCCAGAAAAAGGTGACACCCCCCCCACACACACACCCATTCTACAGGGATGGGCCTGTTTTTTGTTTTGTTTCTTTTCCTAACAGGTAATTTAAACATTCTTTGGGTTCTCTCAGCTGTTCTTTTATCTTAGGATCGGGTTTCTGCTCTTTACTTTCTCAAGTCAATTTATGGTCTTTTAGTATTTCTGAGGAATTTTGGGTGTGACAAGTCTGACGGAAAGGAGCCTAAATTAAGGGAATGCTCATATGGGTCACCTTGGGTAACTTTGACTAATGCCTAAAAGTTCTACCTCAGTATGGAAGAAACTATGTGCACAACAGTAGTCATTCCCCAAGACGACAAGCTAACTAGAAGTGAAGTCTAGCTTTCAAAGTCAATCATCCCCAGGGAAGAAATGATCAGAAGGTATGCTGATCAGGAAAGACTGGCTGAGCTCTGGTGGACGTCGGGCCTCCATGGAGACTACAGGGCAGAGTCTGAGTGCTGCTCCCCTGGGGTTGAAGGTGGTCTTAGAAACCAATCTGCACTCTGGGGAACCACATTGGTAGTGTTTATGGCCAATAATACCAGCGATCAAAAAAGGAGATTGGCTGAAGTTAGAGACTAGCAGGCCTGGTCAGTCTAAATGGAATTTCTCTACTTTTCATTCTTTTTTTTTTTTTTTTTTTTGAACCAGGGATTGAACTCAGGCCATTGCGCTTGCCAGGGAAGCACTTATTCCACTGAGCCATCTCCCTGGCCCCTCTACTTTTCATTCTTGAGTATGGGGATAAGTGGTTATTTAGGAAAGAGCCAAGTTGGGAGGGGGTGGGGTGTCACACCCTTAGCAAGAAAGTACAGGGCCCTCTCATTCCTCCTGGAGTCCAATCCTTAATATGGTCCGTTTTGTATTTGTTGGCTGGTTAATTGGTTTGGAATGGGGGCTGGGGAGAGCTTGAATATTTCCAGAATGAGAGCAGTGGCAATGGCACTGAGACTAGGGGTTGTACTTGAGCAGAGAACCAATAAATAAGCAGTGTTTTCCCAAATTCTACTAGTTGCTGTCCTTGAGGCCCTCCTGCCACAAATTCTAGAGTTGCTCTTATTTATTTATTTATTATTTTTGTTGTGTGGAATCAAACCCTAAGCCTCATACATGGTAAGCAGGCTCTATGCCACAGAGCTTTATCTGTGGCCTTGGAGTTGCCTTTTTTCCCCTAGACAGATGGGAACACTACAGTCAACTAACAAGAGCTCTCATTATTTACTATACTTGCGATATACCCTCTGCCTACCAAGTACTTTACAATCAGGATCTCAATCTTTCAGTCCCACCCTGGGGGTGACATCCTTACCTGCAGTTTACAGAGGACAGCCTTAGGGTTGGTGTAACTGACCAGCATGACAAGGCTTATAAGAGAGAAAGTATTTCAATTGCTATATACTTGCGATATACCCTCTGTTGCAAGTATAAAAGGATTAATAATATTTAGCAGTTCAGATGTTATAGGTACCTTTTGAGTCACCCCACTGTTATGGTTTGGATTGTAAATGTTGCCCAAACACCCATTTGTTAAAGGCTTGGCTGCCACCCTGGTAGTACTACTGGGAGGTGATGGAAACTT